CGGCGGCGGCGGGGCCGGGCCGAGGCCGGGCCGGGCCGCCGGAGGGGCCGGAGCCCGCGGGGGCCGCGGCGGCGGCCGCGGGCTCGTCCGTGTCCGAGTCGTCGTCGTCGTCGTCGGGAGCCGGCGCTTTGAGCAGCACCGGGCGGGCCCCGCCGCGAGGCCGGCGGGGCAAGCACATGAAGACGTCGGCGGCCATGAGGGCGGGCCTGCCGGGGGCATCCCCCGGGGCCGAGGCCGGGGCTTGAGCCGAGCGCGGGGCCGGGGCCGAGCCGGGCCGGGTCGGGTTCGAACTGCCGCCGCCGCCGCCGCCGCCGCCGCCTCCCGCTCGCTCCCCGGAGGAGCCTGAGGCGGGGGAGCAGACCGCCCGGACCAAGGCCCGCCTCCTCCCTACGTCAGCGCGGCGCGGCCAATCAGCGGCCCGGGCCGGGTTCTTAAAGGCGCAAGGCCTGCGCCGCGGGTGTGCGGTTTACCCAGAGCCACGGAGGACAAAAATTTTTTTTTTCTTTTTTTTTTTAAACCAACACAACATTCGGGCGCCCCGCCCCCCACCTCCTTCACTCCCCTTCTCCTGGGCCTCCTTCCCTCGCTGGGTAAACGAGACGTCCCCGCCTCTCCAACGCCTCCTCCCCGCCCCAAAGCAACTTCTGTGCTGCGGGGACTCCGGGCGTGCGAGCCCCTGCCGGGCTGTCCCGTGCGAGCGCTTCTTAAGCGTCTACTGTGTGCAAGGCCCAGCTCAGGAAGGGGGCCCAGGCTCTGCCTGCCCCAGACTCCTGGCCACGAAGGCGGGAGGCCCGAGGCCCGGCTGCGGCCCCGGGATGTCTGAAGTGCCAGGGATGTAATAATGGCCAGTCCGGCCCCACCCCGACATTCTGCTGAGGAGGAAGCTGAGGGACCCGGAGGGGAAGTGACACGTCCCAGAGCGCCCACCCCCGCCGTACAATCGTTCTGCGAGCACTTATTAGGCGCCTACTCTGCGCCCCTCCCTGTGCTAGGCGCAGGGGGTACGAGTCTAAAAAATGTAGCAATGCCTGCTCAGAAAGTTACGTGCAAACGTTTGGGAATACAGAGGTAGAGAGATAAAAGAGCTAGATGATGGAAGAAGTAGGTGAAGAACAGGAGGTAGTGAGAAATAGACATGGGGACAGACGGGAAAAGATGGATACATAAGTAGATAGATTGTTATTGTTTATCCTTCCCTAAGAGGCCCATGAGTCAGGGAGGCGATGCCGTGACTTAACCGGGAATTGGATTTAAGTGAGGCAAGGCTGTGCAAAGTCACCAGCCTTACTCTCTTCCCTGGAGCCATATGGGTCCAGTGCCCAGATAAAGATCTAGAGGACTGGAGATGGCCCCAGGTACAGTGGAAGACCTTGGCCTTTTTAAGCTAAGGTCTTTCCAGGTTCTCAAGTCGACTGAGGCAAAGCCCATTCAGTGATTAAGCCTGGTTAAGAAGTAAGCCTAGGAATGGCCCCTTTTATCTATTAAAAAAATAACAACAACAACAACAAACAAGAGGGCGAGACCCTCAGGGTTTCTGGCGAAACAGAAACAATTACTATTTACATTCCCTCTGAGTCATCCTGGCCCAAACAATGACCACAAATGGGGCTTTGGCTGGGACCTATTGTTGGCCAATAGATGCGAGCCAGAGTGAATTGGGTTTAAGTCTGGTTTTTAAGAAAGAAATCTAGCAGGCAGACCCCAAGATATCTTGCTAGGTTTCAGCCATCAAAATTTACATTCCTCTGGGCAGAGCACCCACCGGGACGTGATACCCCTGTGTGGACTGAGGGGGAGGAGAGGAACTGGGTTGCCGTACTGGAACTGGCCAGTTAGGTCCCCAGTGGGGCAGCTCAGACCACTCACAGGTTATTTGTCCTTACTTCTTCAAGAGGACCTTGACATCACGAAGATGTTGCCTTGACTTGCAAGTGGGTTGGATTTAAGTTGGGAGGGCTGTGCAAGGTCACCAGTCTCATTTTCTCCTCAGGCTCCATCTGAGTCCAGTGGCAAGATCAGGACAACTGGAGATAGCCCACCAATTAGATAGATTGATATAGGAAGACAGAGGGTCCAGAGAATAGAGGTAGAGTATAGATAGATGGCAAGTGATACAAATAGGGAGACAAAGATGAAAAATAGGCGGATGACAGGTGATAGAGATGGATAGATGAAATAAGAGAACAAATATAAAAAAGCATTTAGCATAATACCTGGCTATGGCATCATGGTAGGTGCTTGTGGACCTTTACTTGTTGAAAGAAATACAAAGTGGTTAAATACAAAGCAGTTGGGAAGATTAGGGGAACTGGGAAAGGCATTATGCAGAAGGTGGTGCTTGAATTGAGGAGGACATGAGATCATAAACTTTATTAAGCTCCTACCTACCACATACTAGAATTTAAAAAATTAAAAATAAAAAAAGGATAAAGTAGTTCCTGCTTTTTTAGGAATTTACATCCTACAGATGAAGAAACTTGAGACCCAGAGGTTGAATGGTGTGCCCAAAGTCACACACCAGTTAATGGCAGATGTGGGCTAGCTTGCAGATCCCTATCTACACTGGCTCAAAGTTTTCTGCTGTTTTCCACATACCGCAGTGATTGGTCTAGCTCTCCAGGCTTCATGAAGGCAGAGCCTTCTTGTTATCCCTATCCTCCTCCAAAAGGCAGCTCCCCTCTCTTGGGCAAGGGTAAATAAATTACATATGAGAGGTCAGGCTGTAGGGAAGATCAAAATGAATTGTCAAGACACAGCCTTCAAAACTGGTGCCCCACTGAACTTCCCAACAAAGAAGATTTGGGCAAGGTGTGTCCTTCCTGTCAATGGGTTTCTTCACCTTGAAAGAATCATCCTAATCCTTGCCCGGAAGACCTCAGGAGAGATTTGTGAAGATCAAATGGGATCATGTGTATAAGAGCCTTTGTTAATCAGGGAAGCCTTTCATTCATTCATTCATTCAAGAAACTTTTAGTAAGCCTCTGCTTTCAGCTGAGTCCCATGCTAGGCCCTGGGGGAAGATCCTAGGGAACTGGAAGGAGGGCCAGACTTGAAATCTGGAGAAACTGAAACACTTAGACTCACACTGGTTACAGCTGGGCGACCCTGGGCAAGGCACTTGAACCCTGTCTCAGCGTCTTCACCTATAAAATGGAAATAAGAAAAAAATGGTAGCCTTATCTCACAAGATTCTTCTGAGGATCAAAGGAAATGATGTGTGTGTGTGTGTATGTGTATATATATATGTATATGGGAATCGGGTTAATCAGGGAAGAGGGTATCCTGATGAAGTTGATAAGCTCTGCCTGCAATCTGATGAGCTTTTGGAATGTATAATGAGCACCTACCCCTGGAAAATGTGGGCATGCCTAATGGTGCCTGGTTGAGAAGACTAACCTAATTTCGTTTTTTTTGGTCAAGGTGTTACTAAACTGGTAGAGGAAGTAGAGGATGAAAGTGGAAAGATCTGTGAAGAAACTATTTCCATGGTTCAGGTAGGTGGTATATAAGGGGCTTGGACTAGAGGGATGACAGTAGGAATATTCATTCAACAAACATTCATAAAGCATCCGGTATATGAAGAGCAGTATGTTAAGGGCTGGGAATACAAAGACAAAAATTAAATTGCCCTTGCTCTCAAAGAACTTACAGTCTGATTTAAAAAAAAAAGTAACATGCATGTAGATCAAAATAGATTTAGAACTAGAAAGGACTTTGGAGAATGTTGATAATTTTTTTTTACATATGAGGAAACTGAGGCACAAAAAGGGTAAGTAACTACACACTTCCTATAAACTACTCCTCCATCCACCTCAGCCAAACACGAAGATAATCATACCCTTCATCTTGCTATCACCAGCAAATGTACCACCTCCATGTTCATGAACTCTGAAATTCCCTTATCTGATCCCAATCTGTGGGCTCCCCATCTCTCCACCTGCCTTTCCCTACCGAACCCTGCTCTTGTCTGCACTGTGACCTCCAGTCCCTAAACCCCGACTCCTCTCCCAGACTGTCACTCTTGCAATAACCACATTATCCTGCTTTCCCTACCTTAACCCCTTGCTGAACCAATTCAACCCTACACTGTCCTCCTCTCTTGAATCCCCCACCAACAGCTGTAGCCTTGGGTCACTCCCACTATTTTTCAGAATGTAGGCCTTCCTACATGCATGCTGCTGAAAAAAAGGTGAAGAAAATCATGCAACCGTTGTGACTGAGTCCACTATAAATGTATGCTATACCACTTCAACTTGGTACTCACCACTGCTAGGCAATCCTTCTTCATCTCCCTTATCAACTCACTATCCCATTCTCTTCCATATCTTTTCATACTTCTTCAAACCTCCCATGACTCCCTTACCCCCATCCTCTTAGCTAAGAACCTTCCTTCATATTTTGCTGAAAAAAATAAAGCTGTTTGCTGTGAACTCAGTTTTCTCCTCTC